TCACAGCTCAGATGGTTTGTGGACCTATTAAGTGCCACCGTAGGATCCACTAGTAACTGAAGGCTCAGTCCGACTATACTGCTGGTCACTCTTCTCTCTCCTTGCGCGCCGTTATGTGCCGTACGTCCCACTCGCAACAACTCCTCTTGACAGCAGCTAGTCATTGTGGACTCCATGTAGCTTACAAGTAACCACTCCTAACTCTTCAACCTTCATTTTCGTCTGACGTCTGTCTATTCTAAAGCTTTGCTCGCAGGTTGATTTCGTGCCATCGAAATCTGTAGGTATCTCAAATAAGTGGACAAACACGGTCTGTAATACTATCGGCTACACCAGCCACTGGCTCACCCTTTTACCAGAGCCAATATCTCTGCTTAGCAGCAGTTAGTCACCATAGCCTCCATTTAACTCTGCGGATATCCGGAGCTCTGTGGGAGTCGCTCCCTTCTTACAATATTCATTTACCTGGATTGTTTGCTTTACAGCTCAGATGGTTTGCCGACCTATTATGTGCCACCGTAGGATCCACTAGTTACTGAAGGCTTAGCCCAAACTCTATTGCTGGTCACTCTTCTCTCTCCTAGCGCGCCATTATCCGTCTTTCATCTTACTCGCCTCTACTCTTCTTGACAATAGCTAGACCTTGTTGGCTCCATGTAGCCTACAAGGAGCCACTTCTTGACTCGCCAGCCTTCATTATCTTCTGCCGTGTGTCTCTCTTAAACCTCGCTTGCCTGTTGACTTCTTCAACAAAGCTGTAGGTATCCAGTAGTAGACAAACGTCTTAATACTATGGCTACAGCAGCCACCGATTCATTCTTTCCTAGTGCCACTATCTCTGCTTACCAGCAGCTAGTCGCCATAGCTTCCATTTAACTCTGCGGATATCCGGAGCTTGCTCCCTCTTACAATGTTCATTCTCTTGGATTGTTTGCGTCACAGCTTAGCTGATCTGTTGACCTATCACTGACCTTTACTGGCCTATAGATACACTCATCGACCCTATAGGCATACACGAGTGACAAAGCGTCCGATTGGAATAGCTGCATCTGGCGACTGAGTCACTCCTAGCGCCAACATCTGTCGGTCGTGATAAATTCTGCATTTCTCTTCAGAAGTAGCTAATGGCCATTGGCCCCATGCATATGCGATGATCCAGTGCTTGTTAGTAGCCACCCCGTATCCGAATAACCTTTACTCCTCTAGAATAGCTGCATCCAGTCCCTCCGCTGCCCTGCCACCAATTGAGCTTTAAGACTCTCTCGCTGCAAACTATTTATTTTCGCTTATTATGCCCCCCCACTCGGATTACACTAACTACGTGCTGTTCATGCACCTGACAATCACTACCAACATTCTAACTCTCTTTGCTCTATCCCCACGCAACTATCGACTCATATCAAACGGATACTCGTACTTTACTTACTGGTGCAACGCTCTTGTCCCTACGCAGGGCGATAGCAATCCACCTATACGGCTAATGATTCTATAGGATACTCAAAAGACATTTTCAGCAGAATTATTTTTGCACAGTGTACATGCTCTTGTCTCAAGCCCAAAATGTTTATACACAAGACATTAACAATATTCAATTCCATGCCTGTTCATGCGGTCTTCTCTCGGTTGTCTCTCAACTTTCCCTTTTCTCTGAGGTCCTGGACATCTTGGAGATCTGGATTGGACTGAGAAACAATTTTGGCCCAAGGCGGACGGAACAACCCACAAGGACTGACATGGAGGATGGTAAAACTCCGCAAGGACCAACCTACAATCACCATAACCCTTGTCCAGTATGGAGAACTAGACATATCCTCATACTCCCATCCAGTATACATCTGAAAAATCTAGAGAGCGGAAAAATTGAAACTTTGTTCACCTGGACCTACAACAAGAAGAAAAATCGCGATGTCCCTCTCCTCCAGCGACCCCAAAAAATCCATGGCGACCCGAGCAAAATCACCCGTCCAACTAACAGAGGAAATTAGAAGCCATTACCCCGCGAAAAACCGATGGTGAAACCAGTCGTCAAGCGGCTTTGCCAGTTCAACATTAATGTTCAAAATGCTTTACGGCAGTGTTTGCAGGACGTGGTGGGTTTTCGCCTGGCAAGCGTTTTCCCTATAAAAAGCCACAAATGTCTGTTTAACAACACTGCGACGTGGCGGATGTGACTCTCCACTGAATAACGTCACAGCCCACAACTACATACTGGCAAGTCGACTAGATTCACATATCAACTCTTCTTGACACCGTTTCAACTATACACCATTGAACTGGAGTATCATCGTGATACACAACAGTTTTAAACCTTGATCATGCCTAAGTTGGTGCGTCCTCTATGAAACTGAGAATAAACTATCTATTTATTTATTTTACCATGGACATACGACCAAATTTCTACTATTACTGTCACAGTTGCCATAAAATGTTTGTATCGTTGTACATATCTGATCATGCCTCCATGGGCGTGAAACGCATAGTCGAGAATAAAGTATTTTATTTAATATTTATTTATTTAGAAGTGTGACATTGACATTGTGTACACACCTGGCACACAGATGTTCATCGCGGACACCCTGTCGAGAGCACATCCGCCAGTGGCCGAACAGCATCTAGAAGAGATCGAGACAGTTAACATGGTGCAGCATCTGGCAGTGACAGAAAACCGTTTGAAAGACATAAGGCGTTTCACGGAGGAAGACCAACTTTTACAGCTTCGCGAGACGTTATCCTCAATGGGTGGCCAGAAACAAAGAAGCAGCTCCCGAAGGAATTAACACCCTACTTCAATTTTCGGGACGAACTCACTGTCTGTGACGGTCTGTTGTTCAAGGGAAGTCGAATCCTAATCCCTTCTTCTCTCCGAAAGGAGATGCTGGAGCATGTCCATCGCGCTCACCTGGGTGCAAATTACACTATTAATCGAGCAAGCGAACTGATGTTCTGGCCAGGAATGACAGGTCAGATCAAGGATCATGTGTCTAACTGTGAGGCGTGCCGTTCACACGACATTCGGCAAACGAAGGAACCGATGATGCTGCATGATGTTCCGGACCGACCGTGGCAAAAGGTAGCAGTGGATCTATTCTCGGACAACGGTCCCCAGTTCAGCAGCATGGCATTCCAGGTTTTCGCAACCAAATGGGAATTCGCACACCGGCAAACCAGTCCCTATCACAGTCAATCAAATGGGAAGGCAGAGTCGGCAGTGAAGCAAGCCAAGCGACTATTAGCGAAGGCTAGAGATACTCGGGAGGACCCATACCTCATGCTACTGGAGAGTCGCAACACTCCTTCAACGGATATCGGCCTGAGCCCAGTGCAGCGCCTATACAGTCGAAGGACCAGAACTGTGATGCCTGCATCCGCAACACTTCTGCGCCCTGTCACGCCACAATTTGAGAAAGTACAGAACAATTTGAAAAGGCGAATGGCTACTCAGAAACGGTACTACGACAACGGCGCACGGGAATTACCTGAGCTGACAGTGGGGGAAGAAGTATGGGTTGAACCAATTCCCGATGGACAGGAGCGGTGGAGAAAAGGAGTCGTGGCTGCGAAAGTCGGTGAAAGGTCATACGAAGTAAATGTTGGAGGGAAGAAGCTGAGAAGAAACCGAGTACAGCTGAGGAGATGTCCGAGGCGACAGCATGAATCAGGGAGAGAGCGTTATACTGCGTGCGGCAATGAGGCGACATCGGCAGATCCAACAAAGAGGACGCGGAGTGGTAAAGTGTATGGACTATTTAGCAAAGTACAGCAGCAAGAACATGAAAAAAGGGAGGATGTGATGGGAGTATACACTCGAACGAACGTGCGGTGCCAGCCCAGCAAGGAAGCCGTTAGGCTGCCGCAAGCAAAGGCGGCAACCGATTGGACGTTCACACGTTTCTCGCATGCACGCTGATTGGCCAACAGTGGACGCATTGGAGTGAGTTTGTTTGACTGAATCAAAGGAAAAATGTCATGCATCAACAAAGGTCGTTAATTATGGATCCAACCAGCTGTATATACCGATATGTTTCACTCGCCCTCTGTCTCCGTTTTCGCCTGGTCCTGTTGTTTGCAGAATATACGTTTTGTCCCTGAAGGCCCGACTTTTCACACAAGCTTCCTGCGAAGAGTTACCACGTCCGACAGAAGTAGCGTGAACGCACTCTAGTAACTGCTAACTTTTATGGGGTCCAAGCAGGATCTTTAAACTGTATTCGGTCCTGTGTGTAGACTCGGCCGCGCATCAGAGGTTTCAATAAACCCGGTCACAGGACACTTCCACTTTGACAGAGACCTGGCATTTGCCGTGAAAAAGGCCGCGGCCAGAATGGAAACAGGTCATAATTGCCACCATGGCCATAGATATCCTGACTTATTTGCTCTTCGCGTGCCACACCAGGAGCACCCATTCATGAGTGTTTCTTCGACTGATTGA